AGCTAATAGTTATATGGTGAAAAAGTGGCAGAATGCAGATACCAACACAGGCAGTTCTGTTCCCGGGCATGATCTTAACCTATTTTGCTTAACTGCCTTTAGTTTGTAGACAAAGCCTAATGGAAAAATGTACACATTTTCCTAAATAAATAGCAATAAACCTTTTTAATGACTCAACATACCTGAAAAATTATGCCTCACACATCTTGAAAATTATGGCTTACTAAGGAAGGCTTCTGCAGCCTAGCTGTAAAGCATCCCCTTTCTTACTGTCCTCTAACATTGCTGTTGAAAACTACCACCTGATTTGACTTTTGAAAATCGCCAATTTCTCAAGATGTCCATTTCCTCGTTCTAAAATGTAGGTTTGGGACTGTACATTTTAAAATATCTTTATCCCTCTAAATTCTATGTTTAGAAATGTATTTCTGTGCTCTGATGTGCAACTAAAATATTGACAGTAGAAAGAGAGAAAAAAAGTCCTGCCTGTACCTACTGCTGGTCAAGTCTTTTCTATATTGGAACTTTAGTAGAAATTGCACATGATTCCTCAATGAAATAGAAATTAAATGGAAGCTGATAAAGAGATTGAAGATAGAAAAATAATGGCTTTTCCAAACTCCATAATGCCCTTTGGGTTTTTGCTATAGTGCTAGGCCGTACTGACCAGCACCCTTTGGCATACCTGATACTTGATAGCCCACACATAGAGTTATTATATGACTCAGCAATTCCACTCCTAAGTGTGTATATATACATGTATTATATGTATATTCAAGAAAAATACAAACATGTCCATGCAAAAACTCGTACATTAAGGTTCAGAAAAATATTATCCATGACAGCCAAAAGTGAAAACGATACCAAATATTAACTGATGAATAGATACATAAAATATAGTTGTCTGTACAGCAAAATATTATTTGGCAACAAAAGGGAATGAAGTATTGATTCATGCTACCACATAAATGAGCTTTGAAATATTATGTTGAGTGAAGGAAGCTGATCACAAATGGCTATATATTTATATAATTCCATTTATGTAAAATGTCCAGAATAGCCATATATAGAGAGAGATGGAAAGTGATGAATGGTTGCCTAGAACTCGACTGGGTTGGGAGGAAATGGCGAGTTACTACTGATGGGCTTTGGAGTGTGTGTGTGCGTGTGCATGTGTGCGCATGTGCGTGCACGTGTGTGTGTGGTGAAAATGGGCTCAAATTGTGGTGGTTACACAAATTTGTAAATATACTAGAAACTACTGTACACTTGAAATGAGTCAGTTTGGGGATGTGAAAAGTACATATTATTGTAGATATATCACATATATACACACATGTATATGACATCTCCATAAAAATGTATAATTTATGTAGACTAAAAACTGAATAAAAACTAATCCATAAGCTACCCACCCATTTTCCTATTGTCATTGTTCTTTTGGACCCTTTAGAAAAACCAAGCTTTTATTTTCTCCTTTTTAATTCTTTGTGATTTTTTTATAAATCTATTATTAAGCATTATTTATTCATTGAAAGTACTTTGGAAGAACTTCAAGTAAAATAACGGGTTAATAGCAGCACCATTAAATTCTATGTACTAAATTGCATCTATAAAATTAATCTTTAAAATTTAAATTCTGTAGCACAAACAAATTAAATACAAGAGTATATAGATGAGACTTAACATGGGAGCACATTTCATACAAGCAATAAAGATCACAGAAAATAACTAAAATTTTATTTTCAGTGTTTCTAGCTCTAAGTAGCTAAGGAGGTCAAAGTTAATAACTAATAATCCCAACGATAACCATCAAAAAATTTTGATGAAAGTTATCAAGAAAATTTAAAAATTTTATTTGAAATGGAGAAAATAGAAAATTAAACAATGGAATTTTTATAACCAAAATATAGAAACTTGAAAAAATAATTTATACTTGTTTATTAGAAAGCAATTCAAACAAATGGAAATTCATTTAAAAATATGTGAAAACAAATATTTTAAATGTTTATTTTCCAAATTAATTTATAGAATTAATATAATTCTAAGTAAAATCTCAGTATTATTATTTGTTTTAAAAAATAAGAAATAAAATTCAGGAAGAAAAATAAGCATATTTTTTTTTTAATTCAGAAAAATAAGGACAAAAATAGAAGCAGTACATCACATATTTAGATATATAAAGCTGCTGTAAGACAGTAGATCATGGTGAAAAATATGATGAATGAGACTAGATATGTTCCCGAGGATTATTCTAGTCAAAACTTTAAAAACACTGTGTGTATTGCCATGCTTTTTATCTACCTCAGCTTTTTTTGAACAGATCACATTTTTTGTGGAATATTATTCACCATAAAGTATAAGAAATATTTATGATAGCTATTTATTGTTTTAACTGGAGTTTAGTTTATTATGATTATTTTGCAATAATTCTTAATGAGAGGAATGGAACTTGGAGAGTCACTTTTTGTTTTGTTTTGTTTTTTTTCACACTATACATAGCCCTCTGGCCATATTCCGATATGCTCTTCTTGATGAAGACTGGTTACTTCCCTGAGAATCATTGCCTTAGTTAACCACAGATTAGAATAGGTTTTATTACCTTTTATGTGTTTTTTGGAGATAAATGTGTCAGTACTACTGATCTAAAGTAAAGTGGAAATCTTTTTTAAGAATCTGATTAATATAGTCAATCAACAACAACCTCCACAATTTCTAATTTTCATTCTGTGGACATAAAATCTCAATCACCAAATTGAAATCCGTTACTGCATTCTGACCTTCCCTAAGGCTTAGAGTTTGAGTCAAATGCTACCCTGGTGGCTTTCCCTGCCAGACCTCATCCTATAGTTTGCTAGATTTCTCCTTGGAAAAAGAATGAGTATTATGGTAAACCAAGTTCAAGACTTACTATCAATAATCTCTGTCCCATTCTTCTGGCTCTTTGATCTCCCCATTCCCCTTAGAGACATACACATTGTGATCTTGTATTGCCTAAAGTATCCATGTTGAGCACTCTTGAAGTTACATGCTTATCCCAAGACCAGAGGAAATTGTAGCATTTAAAAGGACTCTATTTCAATCTGAATGTAGAGCCAATAGTTCCAAAAGCAGTACTTGTCAGAATTTAATCACTAAAATCTATACATATTTTTTCCAGGTTTAGTATACTGAGACCTTCTTTGAGAAAAAAATATTATGCTATAGATGATAACGCTTTAGATTTAGAGTCAAAATGCTACTGGCTTTGCTATGTACTAGCTGCATGTGCTTGAGCAAGTTGCTTAATCTCTATTTGTTTCTTTGATTTAAAAATATATATGTATTTACATGGTACCTACCTTTAAATCCTCATAGTGATGTTGGTTGCATTAAAGAAAATGATGTATGTATGCGTGCATGACATTTATATTATTTGTGGGGAAAGCCATGATCTTTGATTAGACACAAAATCAATATTATTTTATATGCTGAGGTTATTTTGAACCAAAATAAAGTAAAAGATTCTTATTTTCACTTGTATGATCGATAAAGTTTCAAACCAATTCATTTGTAATGACACAGGACCTTAAAAACAAAAATGTTTTTGCAACCAAATATGCAACGTAGGTAAACATCAGATGTTTTTATAATTAAGATCATCTGAAGTTTTTAATAAGCTATATTACACATGGACTGCTTACAGTGGGCAACTACTGTCTTATTTCTTTTATAATAGTGCATTTAGTGTTCCACTGAAACGTGGCCAGTGAATGCACAATATTCTTAGTTACCATTATGAGGGGCTCTGTATATTACAGCTGCTCCACTGCGTCTGCTGTTAGCTAGAAAAATGCTGGGAGCAACAGCAGCTACTATCAACAGGGAGCCATATTAATTATTTGAAATGTGCCTCATAAGAGGAATCAGCAGAGTTTATTACTAGTCAAATATTACTTGAAACAGGAAGGTTACTCTAACTGTTATCATAATCTATGTATCATTAACTTTCCTTGTTTAGGAAAAGAGATTAACAACCCTGTAAATTGCTACAGTAAATGTGTAAAATATAACTGCATATTCCCGTTGTAGAAAGTGGTGGGTCCTCCACTTGTACCCATACCTTCTTTACATAAAGTAGCTTTAGAAATTGAACTGACTCTGTAATTATGTTTTCTTACCTTAAAATCCTATTGCTTCCTGGCTCATTGGTATGCCGACTATAGCTGCTTTGACTATTAGAAAATTCTTTTGTCTTTCAGCTAACGATTTTTTTCAGTCAATATTTCAGCCTTCAATTCACCTTTAACTCATAACCCAGAAAATATATCACAAATATGTATCAGCTAGCAGAATGCTTTTTAAGGAATAGAAAATGAATGCATCTACCTGCTTTTTATATTGTGGTTAGTTATTGGTTTTTTTGTTTGTTTGTTTTTGTTTTTGTTTTTGTTTTTAGCAACTACAATAAGCAGGTAGGACTAGTATGCTATTAAAATAATGTAAGTAAATCATAAAAATAAGAGTTAATCAGGGTTATAAAGTTATCTAAATAAGTCCTGCTCAAAGTGTTATCTGACATTGATGCCTGTCTGCAATGTGTTTATTACTGATCTGCAATGAATAAGTTCAGAAATTGAGAACGTTTAGAAACAGCAAATTGATAAAGTATTTATAATTTAACAATTAAAACCGGAACTTATATTTTGTATGTCTGTGCTTTTAGTTTTTCCTTTTCGTTTTTCTTGTAAATCATTTTGTGATTTTAAAAGTGTCATTCCACAATAAATTTGTAATTTAGCAACAACAAGAAATCTGGATAGTATAAGAAGAACCGATTTAATTGGTTGGTTTTTGGATGACACAAAATGTTTTCTGTCCTTGAATAGATCTGTCCACACTCTATAATGGCTATTAATTTAGTGCGAATAGAGATAATGTGACATCATGAAACAAAACAAAGCAAAAAGTAAAAAGACATAACCACAGTGTCATTTTAACACTTAATTTTGGGTCCACAGGGCAGGCACATCATGGACAGATATCATACATCTCTCCACCAATTCACCTTGACTCGGAGCTGGAAAGACCCCCTGTTAGAGGTGAGTTTTTTGTTTTTTTTTTTTTTCCTTAATTTAAAGAAAAAAGAACTCTATTATTTCGTGAAGGTAATTAATTAAATTAAAGATGGTTGTAAATATGTATTTTACAATGCAGTGCCTGTTTAAAAAGCAGGGAGAAATAGTGTGTTAGAAATCTAATGATAGAATGAATAAGTCTTATTTATAAACTAAAATGTGAAATATTGTCCTGAAAAGTTTGTAAACCAAAATAAGAAATAGGAATACATAGTGGTTCAACTAGTGTAAGCTTTGTTGAAAACCAACCCAGATTTAGAGATTAGCAATAACCATTTTGTTTTTATTAGAACTTATTTTCTCTATTATTCTGTGCTTTTTATAAATTAAGATGTCAACCCAAGTCATATTGATAGATATATTTCCTTACAAATTGATAATTTATATTTTATTATTTTAAAGTCATTTTAGTATTACTATCATTTAATTTTAAAATGTGTAAATTATAATTATGTATTTTAAATTGATGCCACCTGTTTAAAGATGTTTTTTAAAGTGAGTCATATAAAATAAAAGTAACATTCATAATTTCATAATCTAAATACATAATTTATCTTTCTGGTTTTAAGAAATACTTATTGATGCTTTTCAAAATGTTTTATAATGTTAAAAGCTGATGTAATATAGATGTCTTTAATTTTTATAAATTCCAAATATCCTAAGATTAATTTTTCAGTTTGAAGTAATACAGTATATTTTCTTATACTTTCAAAAGTATTAATTACTTGATATAATAAAAGTAATTAGGTTTGACTTTTATGAGCATGTTTTCTATACATGCTAGTTATTCTGCCAGGTCTTTTTTTTTTTTTTTTTTTTCGCTTTTCTTTTCTACCCATTAAGCTTCTACCAGTGTTTCAAGTCTCTTCTTTATCTGTTAAGCGTTCCCTGACTACGTACTAGGAAGGAGCTAAATGAATGCCTCTATTCTCCAAATGTTCCGTGCTTGCCTCAATTTTTATACATGACAGTGTATTTTATTTTTTATTGTGCATGTTTTCCTTTCTCTTTCCTAAGATCCTTGAGGACAAAAAGTGTCATAATTACTATTTCTCTTCCAGCAACCTGTCTATGGTTGGCACATAGTAGGCACTCATAAAATAATTTCTAAGTGACTTAAATTGAAGGTGACAATCTAGATTTTGAAAGGTGCATTCTCATTTTTCAAGGAGAAAAGGGATCAGGGAAAATAAAGGAATCCCACGAAGAGGAAGCAGAATGAACCAAAATGTGAATATGTGAAAGTTGTGATATTTTTAAAGAAATACTCTGGGTGCTCAGTAAAACAGTAGCAGTTCTAGTGGAAGAGACTAGAAAGATGTAATAAGGCAGATTTTGAAGGATTCTGTATTCCATGCCAAAGAGTTTGTATTTTATCCTGGAAAAAAATCATGGATTATTTTTTAAATTTATTACTTTTTTAATACAGATTTTTTTATTATTATTATGGTGGCATTGATTATTGACACTCAATAAGTTTCAGGTGTATGATTTAGCAGTAAGGCATATATATATCGCATTGTGTTGAAATATTTTTAATTTTTAATTTTTTTTTCTTCAGTCAGTGGGTTGTTATAACATCATTTCTAGATATGAGAAAAAAATATATCTGAAGTCAGAGTGGATGATGAGAGATTGGCAGAGAGAGGCTGTTTCAGTAGTACAGGAAAAGATGACTGGAAAATTAGTTAGTGATATGTCAGCAGCAATGACAAAGTCTGAGAAATAGTTTGAAGAGACATGGCATTTAGCTGAGCAGAACAAGGAAATGAGTGGAAATGCCTCTAAGATTCTTATATTACTTAACAGCTTGGATGCTTATGACATCATCCCTCACCAAGAGGAATAGATGAATTTTAAATTGATAGATTGTTTTAGGTATGTTAATTCTTAGTAGAATGTTGTTTGGCTGAGACTAGATGTTTAGTAGTTAGCAGGATGGCTGCTTTTGGAGGGGAGGGTGCTCAAATGTATGGTAGTTACCTCAGTGTCACCTGGGATGACAGCCACATGACTCTCGTTATCAAGCAGGCTATCACTGCCTCATTTCTATTGTGACAGGATTTCCAGCAATATGTAGGCAAGTCATAAAGTTCAGGTATTTTTCAAGATTCTGTTTGTGTTGTGTTTACTATGTCCCATTGGCCAAAGCAAGTCAGCCAATCCCAGACTTCAGAGGGAAGAAATAGACTTCATCTCTTAATGATGGAATGACAGTCTAAAAGATCGTGAATACAGGAAAGAGGAGTTCAAGCCATTTCAAATTACCATAGTTGGGTAGATAAAGAGTAAAATAAAATAAAACAAAAATCGACTGATAAAATGAAAGAATGTAGAGCTAATAAATTTGGGAGTTATAGACCTTTCTTATTTTTAGTTTCCTCAACTATTAACACCAAAGGTCAAAAATAAGAACATCACAGTGTTGGAGACAATACAGAATAGAGTCTGGTATCTGGTAGGCCCTAGACAGAATGTGTTACTACTTATTTTTGAGTTCGTTGCTATGGCATATAGGAAGAAATTGGACTCTGAAGCCTGGCAGACCTGTTTGACCTTAGGCAGCTTCCCTCTATCATCTATAAAACAAGAATAATAATGCTATCATGACAATTTTATTAGGATAGTTAAGTGAAATAGTGTCAAGTTCCTGGAAAACCCTTGACATAAACTAGACCCTGAAGAGTTGATAGGGAGGTAGGCAATATTAAAATCTTTGCTTTAAAATGACTTCATCTTAGTAAAATGTACTGATGATATTGACCTGAGTAAAAATGAATTACTAAAATGCAGCAGTCACGTCTGCTTGACATCTGCCTCAAATTGTGCTCTCTGCCTAAGAATGATTGTCTTGATAGCTTCTAGTTTTCATATCATACCTCTACAAACATTGTCCTGGAGATCTTCCTAAACTGCTCTGTGATTAATGCAATTGCAGCCATAGTCATTAGCTCATATGCCACAGTCCATGTGCAGTTTTCAGAAAAAGAACATTAAACTGTATAGAGAGGTTTGTATAAATCAAAATAACATTGGAAAACATCTTGTCCTTTTATTCTTAAATCTAATATTTTATTTAAAAACAAATCTCGAAAGTGAGATAAGGTGGGCATAATAATCTCATTACTTTGGAACCACAAAATATTTCCTTTCAACTTTCAATCGTCACCCCTCATCTTCATTTACTATTTTTAATTAAAGTGTAAACTGTTGTTGATATTTATATGAAACACATCATATTTTTTCAGATATTTTACCATTTTATTTTGTGCTCATCTGAAATATTCTAGATTACTTGGTGCTATCTTTTTTAATAGTGATTGTACTCTGAGTATTTGAGACAGTGAATTACACAAATGAACTGTACTGTATCTATATCTACTTACATACACACACAGAATCTATCATGTATATTATAGATTTTTATTTGAATTAATATGATAAGACAAATTAGTTTCTTTCAATAATTTGGAATTTTATCTACAGTAATTATATTTTTTCTGTGAGATTATATAGCAATATCCTCTGAACGACCTGAAAACTAACATTTTTAGCTTTTCCTCTTATATTTTTCTGCTATAATTGTATACCTATTCTGAAATGACAGATATGTCTAGATACTTTCATTCCCACAATGACCTATAGCTCTATATCTTTTCTTATCTACATGCATGTTAATGTTTTAAGAAATATTGCTTTATAGATTCATTCCTTGTGTATTTTACCAACTTAACTATATTTTTCATAGGAAAACCATACTTAATTTTCTGATATTCATCAAGCTAGCAATACAAAACAACATCATTTAAAAATACATTAATATATTTATCAATAGTAGCGCAGGGAACCTTTAAATAGAAAATATGAAATAACATATAATAACACATGATATTGTTTCAGATATTTTACCATTTTATTTTGTTTTCATCTGAAATATTCTAGATTACTTAGTATTTTTTTTTAATAGTGATTGCGCTCTGAGTATTTGAGACAGTGAATTCATTATTATTAACTTTGAAATTGTGTTTTAAAACCCTATGCTCAGCAATCATTGTTCAAATATATATACATACAGACACAGATATAAATATAGATATCACAATTTCATTCCTTTGTTTTATTTTTGCCCCCTCAAATTCTATATCACCTATGAATCATTTTGGTTTTAATTCACATATCACCATCCTACCACCTTTCAAATCTCTTAATTTCTTTCAGTTTTGCTCCTTTTTTTAGGATAAAATATTTTGTGGAATTGATGCATTTGTCAAAATATATTTTTCTCTGGTATTATATATTTTAATTGTGACTAACTTGCTCTTAGTAACCAAATAGAAAATGTAGTATCAAGTTACCAAATAGCCTTGAATAAAATGTTGTAATCTACATTTCAAAGTAATCAAAATATATTAATTCAGCTGCACTTACTGGTGAGTAAATTTGAGAGATTCTGTTCCTTAAATTTAATGTGATCATACATGGCATTTGGTCACATAATTTATGCTTGTGGTGACTTTCTTCAATTTACAGATTTTATTACTGAATAGGAGTGTAAATTCCAATAGTTTACTAGTGCATTAATGTCACAATACATTACAAGGTAATTAACCAGAGCTGCCACTATAAATAGAAAAATAGTCATAGCCCTCACTATAAACTACTTAATAAAAGTAAGGTCCCGAATCAGCATTCACCATTATAGTAATTTTTCTTGCCATATGTCTCATTAATCGGTACTTTTAAAAAAACATGGCTTCATCTAGAAGCACTATTATTTTTAAAGCTTTCATTATTAAAATAAGTTTGTTATAATTTTGTAGTTAATTTAATGGGATTTATTATATATTTCTATATGTGAATAATTACTACATGTTTTTCAGACATATTTCACAATTTTATGTATTATAATTGGAAACGAAAGACTATTTTGGTAATATTGATAACAGATTCGTAAATAAGCACAG